TTCTAAAGACAGTAAGTTCCCCTCAGACATGCATTCATATGAACTCCTACACCTAAATGAATCGCGATTTGTTTAGCATCTCAACCGATTTGAATGGTCACATATTTGAATCGATTTTCAACCGGCTCGCAGTTAATCGTTACATCCCTATTCACAACGAAACAGCATCACACACAATGTGGCCTTGAGTGAGCGGAGGCCGGAGGCCTAGAGTGAGCCACGGCCTAGAGTTGAGCGGAGGCCGGCTTGAGTGAGCAGAGGCGGGCAGGCTTGAGAACGGCGTGGCCGGTGGATTCGACGAAGGAGCGTCCGGCGGGCTTGCGGCAATCACATGTGACGACCCCGGGCTGGACTCCGTTTCGTCCACGGTGAAAGCCGATCCGGCGATGCACAGCGCGATGTTGATGTATTTCCTCAGTTACCAGCACGGATCAGCTCCAGGCATGACGAAGATATTTTCCTCTTTTGGAAGGTCAAACAAAGTAGTTTCGCTTTCACAACGAAACACACTGTGTCTCCACAACATGGCAGCGGCGGCAACAGCGACAATAAAAGTTACGCCTTCTTTCTTTGCGTGAAAATTTGGGCGGCATCTTCCCACACCGTGACGTAGATATGTGGGGGCGTGTTAGAACGAGCCATTTTAGGTAGGCGTGGTTGACTCTTAACTTTTATAAAGAATATCTCTTTGGATCTGAGACTTTAGTCTTTGCAACTTTACAGATCTTCTTTATGCACCAAGAGCTTGTGACACTCCAAAGAGAAAGGAAAAATTGAAATCGCATCATATGACCCCTTTAAATAACTGGATGATGTTAAGTTAGTTAAGTCTCTAGTTAAGTCTGATGTTAAGTCTTTCTGCTAGAAGAAAATTTTGTTTTCGTGGTGGGTGTATTATTGACAAAACTATCTTTTGATGTTGTAGAAAAATTATGAGATCAACAAAATTAATAAACATATCCAGCCGTGTGGTGGTTTAAAAAAAAAAGAACATTACTTATTCATGATGAGATACTCAATGATGAGACAAAAAAATAAATGTGGATGCATTTTAAAAAATGCACATTTCCTAATTTTAGATTCAAATTTCATTGAATTGGCCTTCACCTATGATTAATAAGATAATAAATCTAATATTTACCAAACTCCCTCTGAATCCTGCACAGCAGGCTGCATCATCAATGTGAAATGATTAATGAACAGAGCTATTCCAGTAGACTGGGATCTCAGTGGGCAGATATTTCCACAATGAATTATTCCAGATTAAATCAATTGCAAGTCCTAAATGCTTAAAATAGAGCAGCAGACAGACAACATTTTAATAGGCTTAGATGCTCCATCCTGAGTCTGCTGGGACACAGCTTTTTCACTGGAGCTGAGTGCATTATGAGTGCAAAACCATGAATAGGAACGTACAGTTGTGCCATAAAGAGCTGTTCTAAAATCACAAATGTGTTGACAATGACACATCTTGTTCCAACTAAGCCATGTCAGCCTAGAACGCAATATTGAGATGGTTTAAATAACATGCTACCAAGTCAACCATGTCTGTTTAATTCTGAATTTAAATATCTGTTTAATTCTGCTAATGACATTGCTAAAACTCATTAGTAGATGCATCCAAATGAGACCCAAATACTTAAAGGGCTGACTCAATTAAATGAACATCCTCCAAAATCCACTTTTCTCATTGTGGTCTCTTTTTAACTTTAAATGCTTATCAGTGACAGCTGGAAGGGTAGGTCTACTGGTGGAACATAGCCTACATGTATCATTGTACTTTCAAAACAAGATTTGGCCAAAAACACACGTCAAAAGAATTTGAAACTATGCTTGTGTTCCAAAAACTAGAAAGTTGCTTTGGTGCCTATAGCCTACATAGCCTGTGTTGTAACTGAAATCCAACCTCAATGTGAGTGATTTGGAACACTTTACCGTGTTCACGGTACTCACAAATAGCATGTTTTATGCAAATGCATAGGTAACTCGATTCAGAAGTGACCTAAAATAGAGTTTGGCATTAGCATGTTGCTAAGCTAACAATCTTATTCTCTAAGGGGCTGTTTAGAAGGCACTTTTGCATTCAACTGTGCTGCTTTTCCATAGTTTTTTTCCATCGTTAAACATACTGTTCGGTACGTTTTTGGTACAGCATGGGGGAAAACTAAACATGAAACTGTTGTTGTTGTTGTTTTTAAACAGGTTTACTGAGCAAATTGTGTTCTGCCTTTAAATACATTCAATTCTAATTAAAATCTTCATTAAAAAATCTATTTCAGCTGATGCTGTAAACTTAAATATTACTATAATATTAAAGGTTACAGTTAACAACAATGTTGATTCAATATTCGTTAAAAGATATATCAAATTAGGATTTTCTAATTAAGTCAAATTATGTGGACTGGTTAAAACAATGCAGTATTTATTCAATATGCATACCACAGGTACCGTTATACCCCTAATAAATTAGTAGCCTACATTTTATATTTTATATTTATATTCTATCAACAGAAGGTGTTGTAGTTTTATAATCGAGATGTATCTTATCATGGATGTATTTTGTGGTGAATTTTTTTTTTGTGTATTTTAATATGCACTATGTGACGTATGTGCAATGCTGCTTTACAATATGGATTTTTTTTAAAGTTATTTTTCCTACCTTTTGGAACACCCTTTATTTTATCAGTGAATGCAACAGAATCAACATTCAGCTCTTAAATGTCAGCTCTAGATTTAGCTGTGTAAGTTGCCACAGGGGTTGTATAACATCTATACCCATTCCTCCAGGCACCTCTCATATTTGAACGATCACAATGATTTCTTTGAGAATAGAGACGATTCCTTCAAGAAACCTCCCATGACTCATAAAGCTTCTGAATCCAAGTCAACACAGAGTCTCATATGAACATGTTCATCAAATTACACTATTGTGCTTTTCAGTAGCTTTTCAAGTAGGCCTGTGTCAACAGTAAATATTTTTCACAACATATAGTCATGATTGCATCAATGCCTAGTAATGGTTCATAAAAATTTGTTATAATTGGGTGATAATTGAATATGTATAGCCTATTGATTGAACATCATAAGTATACATCATTTCCTGTTTTCTAACGTTTTAGTGTAAATGTAGAATAAATATTATATGAAATGAGAGTTTAATTAGGACTAAATTCACAATGTACTTGTTCACCCCTAAATAAAAATTCTTATTAATGCTGTATTAATGCTACTAAAACAATCCATATGCCTTATGTACTTTAATTTCGTCGTAAGATATATTTGTGTGAGAACCAGTCTGAAATGTATGGCTATGTGATTGAAATGTTGGTTTAAGATGTGGATACACTAATCTGAATATGAACATTATTGTGATTGCAGAGCTTTAGAGCTTCATATAATGAAGCTTTGGCCTAGCAGTTCCCTTCCCAGCATGTTGAGCCTTGGTGCTCATACGGAAGATGCAAGTTTTTAATCTGTTCTGTATTGCAGTATGTCGCAATCACAACTAATTTTGTCTCCTCACTACTGTCTCGATAATAAATTTAAAGATATGTATAAAACGTCACCATACCATGATGTAATAACATAATTTAAAATTCATAATATCTTCTGACATTTTCTTTTGTGCTGAACTGTTAAACAATCAATCAAAAAGCACTGGTTTGGTGTCTGTAAAGATGAATGCTGGTGGGGACATCCTTGCCTTCCAGCATTCTAAAGGCAGAAAGGTTCACAAGGCTGAATTTCCTTCAGGAGAATTTTCTCTTTAACATAGTTTATCCAACTCTGATGGGATATAGCAGGGCCAGCCCTTGCATTTGGGGGCCATAAGCAGATTTTCAAAATGGGGACCTCTAACCCACCATCCCCCATTGTACACGTTCTACACTTTTCTGTAAAGTGTTACATAATTTTCTTACTTATTTCCCTTTGATTATATAAAAATTAAGATATGAAGATATTTCATATTTTTCCTCTGCTTTAGTTTCATTTTCATGGACTCTTAGTTTGTTTCACTTCAGTTCCTGTTACCTTTGTCCTCTTTTCCTCACCTGTTTGTATTCTGTTCATCATCTTGTGTATTTAAGTCCCTCAGTTTGTTGTGTTCCCTTGTCGAGTGTTGTTGTGCTGTATGTGCTGTTTCATTTGGCTTCTCATCAACAGATTACCTGGTTCTGTTTTATTAAATACCTCTTTGTTGCTTTAACCCTCTTTGGACTTTATCTTCTTTGGACTAAAACATGACAGTATTTACTTCTGAAGCAAACGTATAATTATTAGTGTATTCAAATTTAGAGAGATGTACGTCTATGTACGACTGTGTATGTCTATGATGTGACACATGCACGGGCAAATGATGTATGCAATTTCCCACAAAATCCATCCCAGCAGTTCTTAAATATGAATAATTTTTATAGCTTCATCAACATGTATTTGGCCAAAATAAATATTTTTTTTGTAAGATGTAAGATAGTTTTTATTTTATTTTATTTTATTTCAAGAAAGAAAGTAAAGAAAGGAGATGGGCTCAATTTGATTTCAAATAGATTTTAAATTGTCTTCTTTTCAGCTTTTATTTTACTATAAAATTGGATGTTTCTGAAAACAAAGTTGAAATGGGCTTTTTGTTTATAAGAGTCATAACACTACATTTCACTCTTAAAATGTTTAGCATAGATTCTGATTGAACAGCTGACAGGGATAAACAGAGCACATTAATGTTGTTATTGTATTGTCAACATGAAATACTTACCTTCAAACAGCATCGTGATCACAGAAACGCACAACTAACTTGTGAGGGTTTCACTGCAGTCCCATGCATGAGTGCTGGGCCAGCTTCAGATGTGCACGCTTCATAGCGAAGGCTCACACTGAGACAGACATCTCAAGAGCTTGGCTCAGTCTGTGTATGATGATGAAAAGAGCATACAGAGAAGAGTGAAAGGCACAGCATGATGCAGAAACTTACTTCTGATCTGTTTTCCTGTCTTCTGTTCCAGTTCTACCAAGTCACACCTGTGGAAATCCAGGGTTGATACCGAGAGGGATTATCCATGGGACCAGGTACAATGTCGGCGACAAGATCCGCTACAGTTGTGTGATGGGATATGTTTTGGAGGGGCATGCAGTGCTCACGTGCATAGTGAGCCCAGGAAGTGGTGCATCATGGGATTTCCCTGCACCATTTTGTAGAGGTAAGATGCTCTATGCTTGGATGGGTTAAAAAGCATGGTCTCCACAGTCATGAAATACTGTGGCTACTGTATGTTATGCAATAGTACCCGCTTAGCACTAGGGCTGGGTATCGAGTTTTTTACTTTTTAGGCACCAACCGAATTGCCTCGATACCATCAAGTATCGAAAAATGTCTTGTCGCTTTGTACCACATTTCAATCCCTAAGGGGTTAATATCATCAAAGTCAGTGAGCCAATAAGCATGCAGCATGCTTTATGTGCCTAAATTAGTGATTGGCTCTGGTGAGGCATCAAGGAAAACGCATGTTACGTGACCATTCATGCATACTGTAGTATCTTAGTGCTGTAGTGTTGTATTGCTTTTACTCAAAACTCACTTTAAACCCCCCATCGAGTGTTAATGTAATAATTTCAGATTGCGACCTAATGTGTGTCTTGGTCATTTAATGTTGCAGAAATATGTTATTTGTAGCCTTTTATATCAAGCTAATTGCTACACCTGCTTAGCATTTCTCATGTAATGTAATCTGTCTCTACTAACTTTGCACATCTAGAATTTGCCCACTCTTCTTTGCAGAACTGCTCAAGTTCAGTTTAATTTGATGGTGCTATTTTGCGTCTTCTTGCACATGAATGGTAACCAGTATACTCTGCGTTTAGAGAGCAGCAGTACTGATCCTGTCTTAGACGCTGCATCGGGGGGCACTCCTTATATTCAAGCTCTGGATTTTTAATACATTATTCATGAATGACTACAAAAAGTCATGGGATACAAGCTCTGAAAATTAATGTTGATTTATATATGGTGTAATTTTACCTTTTCCTAATTACTAATTTGTATCTTTTGTGGTATTTTGTCCAGCTGAAGGATCATGTGGTGGGACGTTAAGAGGAACAACAGGGACAATATCAAGTCCCCATTTTCCTTCAGAGTATGAGAACAATGCTGACTGCATGTGGAGTATTCTGGCTGAGCCGGGAGACACCATTGCCCTGGTCTTCACAGACTTCCAACTAGAAGATAGATATGACTTTCTAGAGATCAGAGGCACAGAAGCACCGTCAATATGGTGAGTAAACTGGCCTCCGCTACTGCTTTTACATTGCAATCTGTTCTCATCTCAGACCTATGTTGAGTAACGGTATCATAGGATCCCTTTCATGGAATTAGAGAGGAATGCCTCTTTTTGTATCTCTATTCAGACAGGATTTACTTTGTAAATAACTTTTGAGCAGCAGTTGTTAACAGAGGACATCTTGTGATTTAATACAAATACTGATTCAGACAATATTGGGATCTATGTAGTTATTACAAGGGTGTGATTGTTCATTGCATGGGTGTGCGGTTACAGAAAACCATGTGCTCTGTGTGCGAGCATCACAGACAGTTATTTTTTTTAGCATTTTCAAAAGCAACAACAACAACAACAACTAAATTAAAAAAAATAATAAAAAAAAATACATAAATAAAGGTTGTGGCATATAATGAATCAAAATATTTTAACACTCCTTTTTAACACTATTTCTAGGTCACAAATCAAATTTGCAGCATTGAGCATGTGGATTTGCTTCATTTGAAGCACAAGATGCTCTTTAAAACATTTGGAACTATGTTTCACTCAGGCTATCTGTATATTCATAGTAATATATTGATATAGACAATTAGTACATCTTCTTTGCAGAACTGCTCAAGTTCAGTTTAATTTGATGGTGACCATATGTGGACTTACAGTCTTCAAGTCAGTCCACAGATTTTCAGTGGGGAAACAAGAAACAAGAAACACGTCACTGAATCATTCACTCAATAGATTTTTTCAAAAACACATCATTACTATGTGGAACTACAGATTTGTAACGGGAGCATGTCTTTTTGAATTAGCAACATCAGATTCTGGATACTTGGCATAGGAAAGTAGTTACACACATAAGAGGGTCTTTGTGAGACTCCTTGGCTTCTCCTTACTTATTTACGTATAAAAGCAAGACTGCATTATGGCCATAAATCATTATGGTTGTGAATACCTGGGGCTTCATGCCCACAGCGATTCACAACCGCAGAATTACAATAGCAAAATTTTAGATACTGGTGCAATTTCACAATTCTTGATTCCAGTTTTAAATCCACAGCCTAAAACGTCTAGCCATAAAGTTAAAACATTATTAAAGACGAGTAGACTTAAAATTAAAAAAAATAATAAAAAAAAATACATAAATAAAGGTTGTGGCATATAATGAATCAAAATATTTTAACACTCCTTTTTAACACTATTTCTAGGTCACAAATCAAATTTGCAGCATTGAGCATGTGGATTTGCTTCATTTGAAGCACAAGATGCTCTTTAAAACATTTGGAACTATGTTTCACTCAGGCTATCTGTATATTCATAGTAATATATTGATATAGACAATTAGTACATTTGATAGTACATAAAATAAGTTGTGTGGTATTGCATAAAAAAAAATGCAAAACGTGATTTTTCCAAATAGATTTGTGGACCCAGCTGTAGGCCTTATGCTAAGAATCATTCCTGATGTTACTATAAAGACAATTCTGAGTAGTTTCTGTGATCGAACTCTCCCTTACTGATTTAATGTTCCTTTTACTTAGCCATATTGCTACTTTACACAGGAAGTTGGTCTATTTAATAAAGGTTAAAATAATTGAGGAAAATAAAAATAATACCTAATCAGAGACATTCCGTTCTGGATAGGATATGATTTCTCAGAAGACAAGCTAACTGAAAAACAGGACTTTGTATGTCCTTAAATTTTTACAGAGACTGAAAAAAAAAATAAAATACAGACATGTCTGATTTGGACAACAACTAAATTAAAAAAAATAATTAAAAAAAATACATAAATAAAGGTTGTGGCATATAATGAATCAAAATATTTTAACACTCCTTTTTAACATTATTTCTAGGTCACAAATCAAATTTGCAGCATTGAGCATGTGGATTTGCTTCATTTGAAGCACAAGATGCTCTTTAAAACATTTGGAACTATGTTTCACTCAGGCTATCTGTATATTCATAGTAATATATTGATATAGACAATTAGTACATTTGATAGTACATAAAATAAGTTGTGTGGTATTGCATAAAAAAAAATGCAAAACGTGATTTTTCCAAATAGATTTGTGGACCCAGCTGTAGGCCTTATGCTAAGAATCATTCCTGATGTTACTATAAAGACAATTCTGAGTAGTTTCTGTGATCGAACTCTCCCTTACTGATTTAATGTTCCTTTTACTTAGCCATATTGCTACTTTACACAGGAAGTTGGTCTATTTAATAAAGGTTAAAATAATTGAGGAAAATAAAAATAATACCTAATCAGAGACATTCCGTTCTGGATAGGATATGATTTCTCAGAAGACAAGCTAACTGAAAAACAGGACTTTGTATGTCCTTAAATTTTTACAGAGACTGAAAAAAAAAATAAAATACAGACATGTCTGATTTGGAGGGGAATAGAAGAATAATTCACACATAAATGAAAACTCTTTATTTACTCACCGTCATATCAAACCCAATAACTGTTTTTCAAAACAAACAAAAACATTAAGAAACTTTATGCATTTTTTCACCCTCACAAGCTTCATGACACAAAACACCATAAAACCAGTCTACATGACACACACACTATATTTCAAGTCTAGAGAAGTCATATGGTAGCTGTGTGTGAGGAACAGTCTGCAATTTAGGTCATTATTGACTGAAAACCTTTCAAATTTCCATTGGTTCTTTACTCAGAACCATCATATAACTGCAGAAGACTTGGAATGTAGCACAATGCAGTCTTATGGGCTTCTTCTATAGTGGTTTTATGTTTTCATTTAGGGTGAGGCATTCACTGAATATCACAAATTACGTCAATGAAATACGAATTTACCTAAACTTACATATGGTAAAATAGTCTCATCCAAACAGGGCTTTGTCTGTCTTTCAGGTATTGATCCAAAATACCCTCAGATCGAAATGAGATACCATTGATCTCACTGATTATTCTGGGAACATATGACTTGCTCTGTGACTGTTTGAATGTGTCCCCGCAGCTGTCAACTTGATGATCACCACTCGGTGGTTTAATACATTTCTCTTGTTTTCTCTCCTCACCTGTGTCTTGTCTGCCTCCTTTCATCAGATACTTCCTCACTGTGTTTTCAAAGGTTTGCAATTGTGACCAAATTGTAAGTCCTAGCCTAGTGAGAGATGGTAAAGAAGGCTCTGCCTGAACTCTATTAACTTCAAGCTCTGTGAATAAATATGTCCTCGCTCTTGACGTGGGGAGCATCGAGGATGTGTAGTCACACAGGCAACCTCGCAAATAATTTGCTTCATTATTCGCTTCACCAAAACACAGGCTCGAAAATACACAAACTTGCTGCAAGAGAGCAATAACATTACTTCACTGGACTGGTGATGAAATAACAGCAGAAGCTATTTACACTGCATCAGAAAAGTAATATCAGGATGTTTATTCTTACCATAAACAGCAGCAGTATCCTATTGACACGTTGTATAAACAGGAATTTCATGCTGTATTATCCAGATGTGAATGGTAATGTTGAACTTTGTAGAAGAGAACAAGGATTATTGTAACACTTTTTCTACATCCATAAAAAAATTCTGCATGAAGTTTTGAAATGTATTATTTATTGATGTTACTCATGTCAATGAATGATTAAATTGAGTCAGATTTAATTAAACTAAAACTACATAATGGCCACAGTTGCAATCACAAAACATGTGGTATACTTGTAATGGTGATACTATATCATAAATGAAGTCCAAAGCATCCACCCTTAAGTCTCTTGACATCCCTAGATTTTGCTCAAGTACCTCCTTTAATGGAAATCTAAAATACTTTTTGCCTACATCATCTTACAGATGAAAAATCAAATCACTTGTGATTTGTTAATGCTCTTTAACTTTTATTTAACTGACAAATGTAATGAAAAAGAAAATATTTCCAAAGTTTTCACTGACCAACTTAAATGTATTTTGTAAATATAAACAAATTTGGATTTTTATGGCTGCAGCACACTCCAAAAAAGTTGGGACAGAGGCAAAATAAAAGTGAAAAAGGTTATAGAATATCCAAGTTAAACCGTTTTGAAACAGTTCACAGTAAGCAGGTGAATTGGTAATAGGTGAGGGTGTCATGTTTGGGTATAAAGATCCCATGTGCTCCCAAAACGCTTCCGACATGGAGTGAATATCCCAAAAGAGTTCAAATCAGGTGGTGAAATAGAAGTCCTAGCACAGGGATACTTTCCATGTGCACTCAAGGAGCATACTAGTAGTATGAAACTACCAGTGTTGGGGAGTAACTAGTTACATGTAACGGCGTTACGTAATTTAATTACAAAATAAATGTAACTGTAATCAGTTACAGTTACTAAGAAAAAAATGTGTAATTAATTTACAGTTACTTCTGAAAATGTTAACGATTACAAAGGGGATTACATTTGAATATTTACACACATCCACATACAGATTTAATTGATTTCTTTCCCAAATTGCACTGACTACTCTGAGACATACGGCCCTATAATTTATGCAATGCAGAAAACACCAGTGTTGGGAGTAACGCATTACAAAAGTAATAATATTACAGTATCATTATTATCTATTATAATGTTACAGTAGTAATTAAGCAGACAAATAATCATATTTTATAATAGGTTTAGGGGGAGCTAGGGCAGACAACAGCACAACCCTTATGAAAAGATGATTTTACTATAAATATTATAGACAATGGTTACTATTGTTAAACCATGGTAACCACAAATTAACCATGGTTTTTGCTACACAAATATATGAGTACATGAACACATAAACACAATCTCTAGAACTGCTCTGAGTCACTTAATGAGCATTTTACTTATTTTGAGAAAACTATCGTCATATAATATACAAAGAGACACCAATGTTTCAGGAGTTTAGTACACAGAATAGGACACATGTTTATTAGATAACCATATTTGAGTTGATGTATATGCTTTTATTTATTATTATTTTTTAATTAACTATTTATTTTCCAAACCATTGTTAGATGCAGTGTT